AGTTTTAACTTTGTGGTGGTGCCTGGAAACAGGTAAATTTCTTGTAGACATTAAATAGGTGGATTTTGTTCGTTGATCTGTTCAACAATGCTGTGTCTTTTGATTGGAGAATTGAGACCTGTAATATTTAATTATTTAATGTTAATATTGAAAGATATAATAATTATACAGGTTTTTGTTTTGTGGTGGTTTATCGTGTTAATTGTGTTTATATTTTGTTAGTAATTAGCTTTGTTTGTTTTCCTTATAAGTTATCTTGGCTATGTGTGTTTATTTCTCTTCTCAGTCCAAAGTATTGCTTCCACTAGTCCCTGTAGTGTTGGTTTTGAAAACATATATTTTTTGTTTTTTGTGTTTTTTGGCCATGTATATCATGATGAAATGTCTTTTCTTCTTACACTATGACAGTTTTGCCAAGTACAGTAGGCTAGGTTACCACTAGTGGTAATTTAGAGTATATCGATCCACATTCTTGCTTTCAATGCTTCTATTGAGAAACCAACAGTTAATTCTGATAGGTTTTCTTTTATATGTGACTTGAGTTTTTTCTCAGCCTTTCCATATTCTTTCTTTGCTCTGTATGTTTAGTGTTTTATCTATGATATGCATTTAGGGAGTTTCTTATCTGTTTGGTGTTCTGCTTCTTGTATCTATGTATATGTCTTACTTTAGTTTGGTGATATTTTCTTCTATGCTATTGTTGAAAATCTGGCTTGTGCCTTTGACCTGGATTCCTTTTCCTTTATCTATGATTGTGATTCAAAGATTTAATCATTTCATTGTGCCCCACATGTTTCTTTTCTGTGCTTAATTGAATTTTACATATTCATTGCTTGTGTTATCTAATTCCTGTACTTTATCTTTGAGTCCTCTATTATTCTAGCTGCTGCTTGATTTATTCTACTCATAAGGCTTTTCCTCTATTTTTTCTGCTCAAATTATTAATTTTTCCAATTCCATCTTTATTTCAGCTTAAGTTTTCTTCAATATATCAGTGTCTTTATTGAATTCTGCTTTCAAATCCTACATTGACTTCATCATTTCATCCAGCTTTATGTTTGCATTTTATGGGAATCTTTCACATGTTATTCTCTTAAAGTTCATTCTTTTTTTTTTTTTTTTTTTTTTTTGGTTTTTCGAGACAGGGTTTCTCTATGGTTTTGGAGCCTGTCCTGGAACTAGCTCTTGTAGACCAGGCTGGTCTCGAACTCACAGAGATCCGCCTGCCTCTGCCTCCCGAGTACTGGGATTAAAGGCGTGCGCCACCACCGCCCGGCCTTAAAGTTCATTCTCTTTAAGTTAATATTGAGCGTTTTTCATTATGTCTTTAAACTCCTGTTATTCTTTGAAGTTTATAATCTTTTTCTTTCTACCTTCACCCCTGTCCTCTTTCACCTTGGTAATTCTGAATGGCAAATATTTCTGTGGGACTGGTTGATTTGGAAAAAGCCATACTGTCTTGATTTTTCACATTGTTTTTATTTTCATGGCTAAACATTGCCATTGGGTTTGATAGTTTTCTGTCTGGACATATCATTCTGAGACAACACAGGTTAATAGGGAAGTTGGAGCCTGAAGGTTGGATCTGATGTGGGAGGGGTTCTATGCTAGAAGACAGAATGTGTCTCTTGTCTAGAGCCTGTAAGTTGTATGTTTGAGAGTACAGATTTAGCCACTGGACTAGACTGGAACATGGACTAGATCTGAGGATTATGAGTAGGGGATCTGGCAGACTAAATAGGGTGGCCCTGTTGTAAAATGTTCAAGACCAAACTTAGCTGGAAGGTTGATGGCACTCATGAGGGATGATGTCAGATGTTAGCAGGACCCATGTACTGTCATACAGGATGTACCTCCTATCCAAAACCTGTGTAGATTATGGTCAGGGCAAGTACAAACTAGTCACTAGAGAAGCATCTAGAACTAGGTGTGGGGACTGGGGATGGTATATAAAAGAAAGGTAAGGCTAGGCATATTCACAAGGGTGGGCTTTAGAGCAATACGGAGTACTGCTTGGTCTTATAGGTTATATGGAGCACCAAGAAAAAGTAATTTTATTTCTAAAGACATTTATGCCTGTTTTAGAACTACCTTGATATTTATAGAAAGAATAAGAATGATAAAAACTGGTAAAATGACAATCATATTATCAATCATATAAATCAAAGGAAGAGGATATGCATTTTGAACCTCCAACTTTTTCACGGCTCATCATTTCTTGATGTCCTTTGCCAAGCTATGTCCTTGGACATCAAGAAATTATACACAAAGTCTCATTATCTCCTCAGTCTGTTAGTGCACTCAGTGGCCTGTGCCATGAAAATAAATATGGAAATCTAGTTCTCCAAGGAAGTACAATGCTCTATAAATTATTCTTCTGAAAAGCCTCAGTCCTTTGCTTTGTACAAAACATGAAAAGCCATTTACTTCCTAATTTTTTTTGTATTAAAAGTACCTCAAAATAGTTGATTATATTTTCTAGCTTTGTAACCGGAAAGTTCTTGAAGACTGATATGTGGAGCATCAGTGTCACTGAGAATGTGTCATAAAAATTTAAATGCAGTGCTTCAACCCAGATGTGCGGGATCTTAGAGATGTCACCAGTCTGTTTATAGAAGACCTCCAGGTTGCTCTGATTCATGGCTCCATTGTCTTTGATGAGGGATATAATGTGTATATTGACATAGATGAAGCAGAACATGAAACATAACTAAAATCTATTTGAAGGATTTTAATTTTAATTCAACAAACACAGAGCAATCCTCAGTTCTTCCCCTGGAAAAAGTATAAGAGATAACTTAAGGGGACAATGCCATGTCATTGGTGTCAGCTTTTCCCACTTGTCTTAGTTTCTGGAAGTCAGCATTTTGGTGACCTTATTCTAATGCATCAATAAGAGATCTTCTCTTAGAGTCCTCATTTGACTTTATGAATCTCTTTTATTAGTTGTTGTCCAGATATTGATTATCTTCAAGTCCTCTTTGTTCTGTAGAACATGATGATGTCTTTAAAGATTTCATGGAGCCAAGCCTGGTGCCAGAACTCTGTGATCCATACTACTGGGATTGAGACTGAAGCAGGAGAGTCACAATTTCAAGGCCTCCCTGGGATACAGAACAAGTTGAGAGCCAGTCTGAAAGAAACATACATGGCTGTCAGCTTGCCTGAAGACATAGGCTAAATCCCCCTTCTTAAGCTGATAGCTCTATTTAAGGAAAGATGTAAATTCTCTGTTGATTTCTATCACCAAAGAGCAGTAAAGAAAGAACACCCAAACCCTGAACTCTTCCTTATATCAGGTCCCTGAAGCCAGTGCCCTGATCAGAATTTCTGTGGCTTTTTAACAGTTTCTTTCTTTTTAATACTGTTTGAAAACAGAGTCCAGTGATTTTTAAAATTATCGAGATATGGTTTACAGTAATGCTTTGAGACTTCATTTCTGCTTTGTCTTTCTCTCCCTGTCCCTCTTCCTTCTTATCTCTTCTTCCCTCTTTATCTCTTCATAGCTCTATGCATACATATGTTTTAAAATAAATTACGCGTTTAGTCTATAGTATAAAATATGTGATTGTACATTGAGCTTCAGTGTAAGAGGAAACCGGTTTACATTTAGTGCCTGGAATCTAGTAGTGCTCTCGTGAGGACTAGTGAAAAATAAGGCTGCTCTCATGTAAGGACTTTTGCAAGCATTTTTCTTTCATGTCATGGTGCGCCCCCTCTCCTTTCCTGAAAGAACTTAAAGATAACAAGATGCAACTGAAGAAAGGAACATAATATTTATGTTGTATAAAGGTAATCCTAGCAGCCTTGGGAAGCTGCACTAAAATGGAATGAAATAAAAGACCAGTTAAAAGACCATTTCTATTTCTGGCAAGACAGCATGAGTAGAAGTGGCAGTTATTATAGATAGGTAGCAAGAGAGCAGAGCAAGATTAAAGAACAGAGTCTTTAAGACTGTCAGTAATCATCAGCTGGAACTACAAAAAAGGATTTAGAAGTTTGGTGCACATTGATTCTTACATGACTGCAATAAATCCTCACATGACTTTAAGACTTTAAGAGCCTGTTTTATCGCACAAAGAAAAGTTAACCTGTTAAAGGGGACCCATTGCCCCAACATTTAACCAACAATGTGGAAATTAAAGGTTGAGCTTTGAGATCATTCTGTTTCTTCTGGCTTTTCTACCTGACCCTATGCTGATCCACAACTTTTTTTTTCTTAACCCTCAAGTAACCATACACAAACCTAATATTAAGTGCAGCTGTATGATTTTTCTCGATTTCTCATGACAGTTGTTCTGATAATGTTTAAGGCCTTTCTGTGAAACTTAGTTTTTAGATTATGATAAGTTATTCTTGATTTTTTGTTTGTTTGTTTGTTTTCATTCTTCCCCAACCCTTCACAGCTAGAAATGTGCAATAAAAACATAGTGTTTTGGGATGATTTTTAGTTTTACCACTTTGGGAGGCATTTTTTGTCTCAGTCAAGAAGCAACCATTCAGATTTGAATTATTAAATACTTGAGTTCTAGTTTCCACATTGAACCATTGAATGCTTTCTATTTCCTTGTAAATGGAAAAATTCTCCCATATGTATGATGTTTCAATATTTTAAGTATTTTCATCTAGTGTGAGAATATTTGCAACTGGGCTTTAACTTCATATATACAAAGGACTCCTTTGTCCAGGTCAAACAGAAATATCCTTTGCAGTCATGGTTGATTACAAGATCACCCAGGGCTCTATCCTGAAGTCTATACCTGGAGAAGCACGTGAAAATGAATTTGACTTTGCTGACCACAAGAAGTACTTCAGAATATGCCTGATGGGATGTGACTGTGGGCGTGTATTATTCTTAATGTGAGAAGATTGTTTTGCCATAGCTGTTCTTGCTGATAAGGCCCTTAGAGTCAAAACTTGATGTAATGCCTGGTGAGTTATTTATTTAATAACCATCATTCTCTGACAAATGGGTGTTATTCTCTGTTTTAACCCTTCAGAAATGCATCTTCTGTAGACACCGGGTTAAGAAGGTTTCTGGAGCCTGCATTCAGTGTTCCTATGGCCGCTGCCCAGCTTCATTCCATGTCACATGTGCCCATGCTGCTGGGGTTCTCATGGAGCCTGATGACTGGCCTTACGTGGTAAACATCACGTGCTTCAGACATAGAGTCAACTCAAATGTGGTAAGAACTTCTCTCCCATTTGCTGACACTTTAAATTTTTTTCTGGACCCTTCTTAGGTCTAGAATACCTTGTTGGTATTGACATGTCTGGACTATAATATACTTTAGACTAGGGATTGAGGGCTGTTATTTACACATAGTGACACAGAACCCTTCAGTTTCTAATATGCACTAAATGCAATATTTAGTAAGTTGAGTGACTGAACAAATGAATGAATCAAGCTCTTTATGTCCATTCTAGTTCAGGATCTGTGTAAAAGGTATCTGAATAATTGTGTGTGTTTATATATATATAGATTGTGCAGTTAGTGTGTTCGGGGTGTCAGAATATCACTTGAAGTAGAGCAGTATGAAAAATACCACCTCAGATGTGTAAAAGAAAAATTTTAAAACAAATTCTGTGTTTAGTATCATAAGTTATTTTAAACATAAAAGCTTATTCAACATTACTAAGTTTGGTGTATGTCTTTTTTCCTGTCCTATTGTGACGAAACACCATGTCCAAGGGAACTTATAAAAGAAAGCATTTAATTGGAGCTTTGCTTAGAGTTTCAGATTGTTATCCTGTAGTAATCATGGTGAGAGCATGGCAGTATTCAAGTAGGCATGGTGGTGGAGCAGTAGCTGAGAATTTACATCTGATCCACAAGCAGCAGGTGGAGGGAAAGGGAGGGGAGGAGAGAGAGGCAGAGAAACTGCGGGGCAGAAAAATAGAAACAGAGATTGGGTATGGTGTTGATTTTTGAAACCTCAAAATCCACTTCCAGTAACACACCTTCTGCAAAATGTCACACCTCCTAATCCTTGCAAAACAGTTTCTCTAACTGGGAACCACACATTCAAACATGAGCCTGTGATGGCTGTTCTCATTCAAATCACCAGACCTTCTATTTCTGTTTCTTTTCACATATTTAAAAACAGGGTATCCGACCTTTGGCTGCTCTAGGCTACATGACACAAAGAAGAATTGTCTTAGACCACATATTTAATATTCAAGTACTACAAAAAACTGATTAGCAAAACAAGTCTGTTTTAAGGTTCATATCTATTGTCATATATAAGCATACTAAATATTCCTGTATGGTCCTAATTATGCAGTGACCTTTTACAAAATCTTTTGAAAATTATCCAGTAGTTCCAAGGTTTGCAAACATTGCTAATAAGAACTTGAATATATCCAAGAAATAAAACTTTAAAGATTTTTAAATGTTTTTTTAGTTTTAATTAAAATATAATTACATGACTTTCCTCCCTTTCCTTTCTCTAAATATTCCTATCTACCCTTCTAACCCCTCCCTCTCAAGTTGATAACCTCTGTTTCTTTATTAGTGTGTGTGTGTTTATGCATCTAAAATGCTGACTCCATTAAGTATTACTTGTGTATATTATCATACCACTTGTATGTATATGGTTTCAGGATTGACCACTTGGTATTTAGTAACCAGTTAGGGGTCTCATTCCTGGGGAAGATTAATTCTCCCTTTCTCAGAGGTCATTGTTACTTATAATTCTTTGTCTATTGGTAAGTACCTCAGAGATTTTTTTTTCTTCTTCCTCATTTCCATATCTGTTGATGTTGTAGTTCCTTCAAGTCTTATTTAGGCAGCCACCTAGTTCCAGTATCATGGAACTGTCATATATAGGAGATACAATCTCATAGCATATTTGTTGGTCCTCAGGCCATGAGATTCAGGAGTTATAAGTACAATAATTTTAGTGGGCGTTCCATGATCAGTTGATGTCTACATTTTGACCAGTTACAATGGGGTCTTCATTTGTTGCTTAAAGTTTATTTAATCAAGACTAAGAACTACATTTATCTGTGGGTATAAAGTTTAGAATGCAAGTAGGAATTATATTGGTTTACTACAGTGGGAGTAGCAGTTTTTCTTCTACAATCCATGAACTCCCTAGCCCTAGGTAGTTGCCTAGGTAGGTTTCTAGTAACATACATAATTATCTTTCTGTTATAGTTGCTAAATTCGGTTGGAGAACTGTTTTTACCACAAATATAAATGCCACTATTGTACCTTTAAGGACATCTTGCCATGCTGGCCATAGTAGTGGTTCACAGGCATCATAGTTAGGTAGGTCTATTGATTAGTTCTTTCTCTCTTGAAGTTTGTAAGCATCTTCTGATACTATGAAAGACTGATTTTCAGGATGGAGGTTTTTAGGTCAGATCCAGCTTAAATCTTCTAAGTCCTGCATCCAAATTTTGTGTTGTCCAGCTTTGAGATATAATCAAGGGTAACAATAATAGGCTATTGAAGCTGCAAAACAATTCCATATCAGTCAAAAATTATGGATAAAAAAGGTTATTTATTTCAGGGGAAAAACTTACAGATCACCATCCCAAACAACAGTCCTCTCGTTGCAAACAGGAAACAGAGAGTCTAGTCTCAGGAATAGGAGCTGGAAGCACAGTTCCCACTGCTTTTTAAAGTAGAAGAGACCACGCCCCGGTGGGCTGGTCTCTTAAAAGCTATTATTGGTTGAAGGAGCAGAATGTGCTCCCTCAGCACTTCCCCTTTTTGTTTAAATAAGAGAGTTCCAAACCCAATACAAACTATATATACTAGGAACAGATATCAAGTATAATTGGTATTACATCCAGCATAAACAATATTAAGCAAGAAACATATGCTAAATGTTTATCAACATTCTATCATATGTAGAAGTCTTATATAGGAAATGGCTTGACTAGATCATAAGAGTACAGTAACTACGACTATCTAATCTTCAACCCCATCAAAAGCCTGAGAAGGGAGATAATATTATTTTAGCAGACAGGAAGTGCAATCAAGTAGCTTCCAAAGCAAGCAATATGTGATGGAGACAACTAGCTGCCTGAGCAATCACCCAAAGTGTCATTTCAACGTTGAAGCAACCAACTTTGGCTAAGGCCTAGTGTAATTAACAGACCATTTTCAGAGACAGGAAATTTTTCAAAACCATTTTACCCTGTCTTGGCAAGATTTAACAGTCCTACTTATTCATTTCTGGATACTGTGTAACTTGTCAGTGGTTGAGGCATTGTCAGTTCCTTGCCCAAAGGTCAGTTTTGCCTAGAAAAAAACAAGCTCCAAGTGGGGTGTCTTCGGTGCTCAACATTCTCTCAGGAATAGATTGGTGCTGTCAGAACCATGTCAACAGAACTCTAAGTTATTTAAATGCCATGTTCCACAGATCTTTGAAGTGGTTGAAGATTACCTATCTAGACAGAATACAATCTCTAAGTATCTAAAGAACCTAATTGATCTGACTGTATGTATAACAAACATGAACCACTACTGACCTATAATAATATGAAAATATACTCTAAAAGTTGTATCAATATACAAAATTCCTAAACCGAGTTAGAAACATACATAAAATACCCACACACTCTAGTTTGCTTCACATTGGCTGCCAGATGAAGCCGCAAACCAATCCCACACCAGCTAAAAATTATGGATAATAAGAAAGGTTATTTATTTGAGGGGTAAAACTTACAAATCACTGTCCCAAACAATAGTCCTCTCATCGCAAACAGAGAGTCTATCCACCAGAATGGGAGCCAGAAGCAAGAGAGAGAGCACACAGTTCCCGCTGCTTTTTAAAGTATAAGAGACCGCGCCCCAGTGGGCTAGTATCTTAAAGACTATTGGCTGAAGGAGCAGAATGTGCTACCGCAGCAGGCTATATTGCTTCGGTAGTCACTTGGACTACCCTCACCTGTGGTTTCATTGGACAACTCCAAAGGAAGTTGTAGTCTCATGCAGAGTGTTGGGGGAGGGGGGTGTTAAATACTCTGTGACTCCTGTGAGGGAAATTGTCAGCCCAAGTGAGATAACTTCATTTGAGAGAATTACATATTTTTATATTATTTGTATGTATTATGTAATTTAGGGTAAGTATGATTCTTTAAGGCCTGTTTTTAATCATCCTTAGTGTTATTTGACCCTTCTCCCTCCCGACTCTTCATCAAAGCCCTCCTTCTCCCTTCATATATCATCTACATAACATTTTCTTCTCAAGTCCCCTGACTACCTTTTACTTTAATGATTTTTGTGGTTTTTCCAATTTATATACTCATATCTGAGTATTTGGAACTAGTAGCCATCAATGAAAGACAAAATGTTTGTCTTTCTGGCATTTCATGATTTCAGCTTTTTAAAAGCTAAGTAGCGTTTCCTTTCGTATATTTCCTGTTTATCTATCTATCAGTTGAAGGACATGTAGGTCGTTCTGATTTCCTTACTATTTTGACTATATCTGAATTAAACATGGCTAAGCAAGTATCTGTGCTGTAGGAAGTAACTAACTGCTTTGAGCCAAGGAGAAACATATTGGGTCACATAGTAGATTTATTTTGAACCTTTTCAATATCCCTCACACTGGTTTGCAGAGTGGTTTCACCAGTGTGCATTTCCACTAATGATGAAAGAGTTCCCCCTCCCCTCTCCAGCCTTGGTTGTTAGTTGTTAATAAATTCACAAAGTTGTTTTAATTTGCACGTCTGTAGTTGCTAAGGATGATGTATATTTCTTGACCTACTTCTTCGCAATTTTTATTTCTTAAGAACTCTGTTCAGATCCATAGAACATTTTTTAATTGAGTCATTTGTGGTTTTTGCTTCTAGGGTTTTTTTTTTTTTCTGGATATTAATCCTCTGTCAGATGTATACCTAGCAAAGAGTCTCTCCCAGTCTGTAGTTTTCTTCACTGGATACTTTCCTATGCTGTACAGTTTACACCTGGAAGACAGGAAAGTACATAATTAGTTTTCTTGATTAAAAATGGACCTGAATAATTTTTCAGACTTGTTACCATTGATTAAGATGTGCTACAGAAAATCTGCACTAAACTGTTACGATGAGAATTAGAAAATTTTTAATTGATTTTCCTATTACTGTTTCTTCTAAAACTCAAGAAAATTTACTGAGTTTATATTCTATTAGTGTGTCTCACAGGGCAGTGTATCTTTATAGCACAATTACTTTTTGGTCCTATCTTGACAGGATGTCAACATAGATAAGGATTATAAAAGAAATAATAATTAACATATGTATAACATCTTAGATAATATTGTGCATATTCAGGTATAATCCGTATGTAGTCATCCCTGAAAGCCTAAGTAGCCAGTATAATTTTTATTGAAAATTTGTTTTTCATACAGTATATTCTGATCACAGTTTTCCCTCCCTCGTTCTTTTCCACATCTTCCCACCTTTCCCATTCATCCAACTCTACACCATTTTTCTCTTCCTCTTTGGAAGACAAAACACAGACATACACACAACTAAAACAAAAAACAAAAAAAGCATAATAAGGAAACTACACAGACACAGGCGCACAAGAACAAAACCCATAAGAAGCTATAATATACAAGTTAGATCAAAACATAAAGACCAGTTAGATCAAAATTGCCCAATCAAAACAACATGAGACAATAAGAAAATCTACAAAATACCATTGAATTCATTTTGTGTTGGTCATCTACTGCTGGTAATGGAGCCAACCCTTTAGTGTAGTATGTACCAAGTGACTCCAGTGAAGAGAAAAAGTAGGGGGGTATTTGTTATTGCTATTGTTGTTGTTGCTGTTTTAAATTGTTGTCAACTAGAGCTTCTTGGTTAAGTGTAGGAGTTTATGCCCATTTCCCCTTCTCAGCCCTGATATTCATTCCCAACAGAGGGCCTACCTCCTAAATTTTAATAATCTCTCAATTTTGTGCCACCAGCCACTTGAGGACCACATGTTTATACACAGGAGACCATTGGGAATATTTCATATTCAAACCATATTGGTTCTGCCAATAATTCATCAGTTTTCAGTTGACCCTTCTTCAAGAAGAGAGACCAAATTAGTTTGCCAAATGATAAGAAAATGTCTGTTCTGGAATTGTCCCTTGTTGTAACACATTTAGCTCCTTCTTCCCTCATGAACTCTTTTTAATGTTAACTGTTCTGACTTTTGTCCAAACTTTGATTGGGAAGAATAATATTTGAGAGTAAATTATATAGCCTACTTAATATGTAAGTGTGAGCATTTATGAAGACTAAAACATAACCATTTATAACGTGACTCCATTGAGTGTATACCTTTAACACCTGGATCTTGCTGTTGGTGTTACCCTGTAGAATGAAGAGCAGGTGAAGTCATAAATACCAAAACCTTGGCGAGGCTGTCTTTTGTGCAGCCACAAACCTGTGAATAAAATATGTACTTTACTGAGAAAGAAAAAAGAAAAAAAATATATTGGGAATCAGAGATGAATATTAAAACAACAGAAGGTATTTTTCTGTGTTCTGTCTAATATGACCTAAACATAAGTGATGCATGTAGATTATCTTCTAGTATAGAATATATCATTCTTCCATATAAAGTGCTCACCCTTTCACATCTATCTTGTATTTATATCTACTGAGCAAATGTTGAATATGGTCTTTCCTTGCTAAGTAGTTACGTGTCAGCTGTTTCAAAACTTTTTGGTTGATTATAAATAATTGGTTGCTTAAAAATTTTTAAGAACTATTCTATTTTGCTTCATTAATCAGTGGAAACTACAGAGAAGTAAATTCAGTAGTAAGTAATGAAAATCTCTATGGGTCATCTGTTTCAACAATACTTAGTTGCATGGTTCTATTTCATACTAGGCTGACTTCTGTACCTCTGATCAGTTACTGAGTTCTGTTGGTGTCTAACATCCTAATTATTATCAATGTAGTCACTCATTTTTTAGAAACCAAACTTGTGTTTTATGTGTCTGAGTCCCTGAGCACAAAATCCCACCAATCCCTCAGCTTGCCCCAGAATCAGGCCACAAAAACCTACTAATCAAAGCATTCCTGGAAAGCTCCACCACCCTCTCTCCTAAGAATCTCTAAATAAGTCCTGTACTCTGTTCAATTTGGTGCTCCTCACAATAGAGACAGTCACCCTCTTGGATTTTTCCTTCCCAATAAATTTCTTGAGTGAGGTTTGTTGTGCAATTTGACATTTTCAACCTGATGTAATAACTTTCATATTAGATGGAGCAGAGCGGAATTGTAACACTTTGGGGACACATTCCCCTAGCAGAGCATAACTGTTACACTCTAGGGGATCTAAAGTCCCTAAAAAATCACTAGTGTCCAAGGTTTCTTGAACATAATGCTCTGAATTAATATATCATTACTTCTCTAATATAGTCTTTTGACCTAAGCAAGCTAAACCCAATAGTTTGGTTCAGACTCAAACTATTGGGTCACGCTTTGTTTAGGATCTAGAGTAACATTGGGACATATGCAAAAATTATGTGTCTTAAAATGAAATATCACCACAAAGAATATTGGATTCTGGACAAGACTATATAAACATGGAAAAATATCACTCAGATGATCTATTAAAAAGCAGGAGAAATTTAGCTTTCTAAAGTATCACTACCATAAAAAAAAAACCTGTAGAAATGGGGTAAAATGATGTGGCAGATAAGTAGAGCTGAATTGGATAAAAGATTCTCTTTTTCAGAGTTTCATGGAAGGAGATAGGAAATCACCAAGGTCATCATGAAGTCAGTTGATCAAGTTTTAAAGTGTCATGTCAGTGTTCAACTTCTTGAAGTTGATTACTGTGTAGAGCTGTGATTACATGAAGCATACCTCTCTCTTAGAAAACAAACATTGAAGAGTTCATATGATAAATACCGTGGATTCAAAGTAGTTAAAAAAAATTTAGGGGATTGAGGTGCAGGGCTCACTGTTAGAGTGCTTGCCTGCACACCTGAGACCTAATCTCTATCCTTCTACTTCACACATGCACCAAATAGTTAGACAATAAAGCACATTGTAAGATATTAGTAATCATTGGCCAACAAGTAGTAGATGAGTAGTTTATTTTTTTACTAATTATATTCTTGAAATTTGAAATTATTCTCTCATACTAAATTTTAAAAACTTAAATTTGCGAGGTAACATTGGCACATGCCTTTAATTCTAGCACTGGGAAACAGAGGCAGGTGGAGCAAGTTCTAGGACAGCCAGAACTCACAGAGAAATGCTGTCTTGAAATTCACCCATCCCTCCAAAAGAAGCAGAACAAAAACACCTTAAACTAGGCGGTGGTGACACATGCCTTTAATCTCAGCACTTGTGAGGCAGAGGCAGGCAGATCTCTGTGAGTTCGAGACCAGCCTGGTCTACAAGAGCTAGTTCCAGGACAGGCTCCAAAACCACAGAGAAACCCTGTCTCAGAAAAAAACAAAAAAAAAAAAAAATTGACCAAATTTGTTATTGTTTCCCAAAAATATTTTTATTTTCTGTTCTTCTTTTTTTTTTTTTTAATTTCTGTCACTTTTCTTTCTTTGTCTCTGTCTTACAGAAGTCCAAAACTAGTGAGAAAGCCATCTCTGTAGGCCAGACAGTCATCACAAAGCATCGGAACACTCGGTACTACAGCTGTAGAGTGATAGATGTGACATCTCAGACCTTCTATGAGGTCATGTTTGATGATGGCTCCTTCAGCAGAGACACATTTCCTGAGGACATTGTGGTAAGTAGGTTTTTCCTGAGTTCCTGATCCCTCAGAAATGTTTGTAATTAATTATCTCTTGCCATTGATAATTTTGATGTTAATTATCTTTTGTAGTATACAGATGAACAGATGGAGTTTTTTTCAGCTCTTTTGAGAAATTTTCTTTAGCCAAGGAACAAAAGATACGCTCTTGACTTTTTTGTCTTGTCTACTACTACAGAAAGATATCTAAGACTGGGTAATTTGTAAAGAATAGTAATTTATTTGTTTGAGTTGTGAGAAGGCAAGGCAATCCAAGTTCTTATATTTGGTCTGGCAAGTTCCTTCTTTCTGAACTCTCACATGGCACAGGGTAAGGTGGCCATTTTCTCTAGAGCTTACATGGGTTATCAGTCTCATGGACCAGACAACAGCCTTCCTGGGTCTAAACATCTGTAAATCCTTTTCTGACTTTGATGAGGTTGGGAGAGAGGGCCTTTTTATATAGCTCAGGTTGCCCGAGAACTTATAATGTATTCCAGGCTGTTATCTAACTGGGAATGATCCTTCCACCTCACTCACCCTCACAAATACTGGGATTGCAATGTGAACCACCTGCCCTGATTTGATAATGTGCCCAAGTCCAACTTAAGGAGGTCAGAGAAAATGAAGAGATGTGAAGTAGGTGCTACTATACACCCCTTCTTTACTTTACTTTTTTATTTCTTCTTCTTCTATTTTTCTCTTATCCCTTTTATACCCTCTAACATGACAATTTTATGCAAGAAAATATAACCTCACAACCATGTTATATATTTTCCAAAAACAAATTGGAATCTTTACACAAGAGGAAATCACATTATAATCACATTACATGCTTTCCTTGGAATCTCACAAGAAGTTGAACATTTTCCATTATATTAGTTTTCCCGCCATAATATTTTTACCCCAAACTAATGATTCTTTTATTATAATGTAATTTAAAATATTTTTTAAAAGAATAACATGAATTCAAACAAGTGTTCTTTTATCTCTGGCACAGTGGCTGCACCTGAATCTACTGCTGTTTCAGACCTTAGCTGTGGCTCTATAGTTATTATTGACTTTTTTCTTCAGTGACTGCCCAATAAGAATTTTACATCCTACCAGATACATCTCCTGCTCCTGCCACCAAATGTAGTTTTCTAACTAAATCTGTATCATGTGGTGATATTTTTTGTGTGATCTAACAAATACAACTTGCCTGAAGGTCAGAGTACAGAGCTAAGCACAAATTAACCATAGTTGCCAGTCAGTGATAGCAAACACACCTTTAATCTCAGCACTTGAAAGGCTGAGGCAGTTGGATCTCTGTGAGTTCAAGCCCACCCTAGGATGCACAAGATTGATCCAGTCTAAAAAAGAAAAAGAGCTAGGTGGTGGTGGCTCACACCTTTAATCCTAGTACTTGAGAGTCACGCACCTTTAATCCTAGCATTAAGGAAGTGGAGACAGGAAGATATGTGCCTGAGCAGAAAGGAATATAAGGTATTAGGAGACAGGAGCTAACCTTATGCCCTTTGAAGTTTCATAGGGACCGCATTTAGTCTGAAGACTTGTAGAAACAGGATACCCCATTCGGTCTGAGGGGTTCGTAGAGGTAAGAACTAGCAGCTGGCTGCTGTTCTGCTTCTCTGATCTTTTGGCTTTCATGCCCTAATATCTGACTCTTGGTTTTTATTATTAAGACCAATTAGAATTCACACTACACTATATTTCTTTCTGTTATATTAATTAGATTTATAAATTTTTTTTTATGTCCTCACGGGTTTACCCTCCCTCCTGTCCTTGCCTCCACCTCCTTTCTGTCCCCCCTCCCCATTCCACTTTTTCTCTGTCTCTGTTCAGAAAGGGTAAGGCCTCCCAGGAGTGTCAACAAAAGTGTGGCATATCAAGTTGAGGTAGGAGTATGCACCTCTCCCTGTATTTAGGCTGTGAAATGCAACCCAGCATGAGGAATAGGTTCCCAAAAGCCAGCCAAACTGTCAGGAACAGACCCTGCTCTTACTGCTAGGAGTCCCACAAGGAGATCAAGCCACGAAAGTGTCACACATATGTAGAGGGCCTAGACTGGTCCTGTGCAGGCTCTGTAACTGTCAATCTAGCGTCTGTGAGCTTCCATGAGCCCAGGTTAGTTGTTCCTGTTGTTCCTTTGTGATGACCCTCACCCTATGGCTTATACAGTCCTTCCTTCCTCTCTTCAACAGGATTCCCTAAGCTCAGCCCAGTCCTTAGCTGTGAATCTCTGCATCTCTTTTCATCAATTACTAGAGAAACGCATCCTAACAATAGTTTGGGTAGTCACCAGTCTGATCATAGGAGATGGCCAATTTATACCATCCATCCATCATTGCTAGGTATCTCAGCTGGGGTCATCCCTATAGATTTGTGGGAGTGTACCTTGCATCAAGTTTCCACGTGACCCCTAAATGACTCCCCCATGAGACCATCTTCATTACTCTCCTCTCTCCATCCACTCCCCAACCAGATCCTTCATGTTCGTATTACCACCTGCCCCCTGTCTACCCAGAAGATCTCTTCTATTTCTCCTTCCCAGGGAAATCCATGTGCCCCCTTTTGTGCTGTCCTTGTTACCTAGCTTCTGTGATGTTGGACTATAGCATGGTTATCCTTTACTTTACAACTAATATCCACTCGCAAGTAAGTACATACCATGCTTGTCTTTCTGGGTCTGGGTTGCCTCACTCAAGATGATTTTTTTCTAGTTCCATCTACTTGCCTGCAAATTTCCTACTGTTATTGTCTTAAATAGCTGAATTATAATCTGAAGGCATTTACCAGATGTATTGTCTTCAGATAATCTATCTTCTTGCTAAGTGAAATTTATCTTCACTTTGGGAAATTATTCAAGGTTCTTTGTTTTATGAACTTATTCCCAAGCAACATTTTAGGATTATAGCCTCTGAATTTTCTTGCCTGCCCCTATACTTACTTAGTCCTGTCCATAATTCATAATGCAGAAGATGTGTAGTCACATCTTGATGGGACCTTAATCTATATTTGCCTACTGACTAGTGATTTGACTGTTCTTCTTTCAAGTGCTTACTACTCAATCACCACTCCTTTGTTGAAAGTTTATTTAAATTGATAAAATAGTTTTATTTCTGTTGAGCTGCAAGAGATTGTGTGTGTGTGAGCATGCTTGCATAACTTTATGCAATGTATAATTTACAAATATTTTCTGTTTTTTTTCCCAGTCTGTTTGCTTTCCAGTAATGCCTGGTGTAATGAATTACATGTTTTTCTAAAGCCCAATTTTATTATTTTATGTTTATTTATAGATTACATATGTGTATATGTATATATCTACATAACATATGTGTGTTAGGAAAAAAGATGATAGATAGGTAGATAGATAGATAGATAGATAGATAGATAGATAGATAGATAGAGTTATGGCACTTAGGGTGATTATGTCCCCCCAGTGAGCAGCAGACTAGCTAACAAAAGCCCCAGCTTCAGTCCCCCCAGTGAGCAGCAGACTAGCTAACAAAAGCCCCAGCTTCAGTCATGGGAAGCCTCCCTTGAGTTTTTGTTCAGAGCAGTTGAAGAAATTCCCAAAATAACAAAAGTTATTGCCATTGTTTTGATTTGCCTTTCAGAATTTGATATTAAAACCTTATTGCTGGAGACACCACACACATTTTGAACACAGAATTGAGAGGAATTTAGATGAAACTTAGCAGGAAGTCTCCTCTGAGTACTAGCTCTCATCGTTTTAGAAGGTGCTATGCGAGGTGCTAAGGAAGAAAACAGTATGCCTACCGTCTTCCTTAGCTGTACAGTCTACATACTACAACACTGACCAGCAAGGTGACTCAGAGAACATGGTAATGACTTAGGACCTCTCAATGCGAAGTCATTCCTAGTACTAGGAACCCAGCAAACTACTTATGCCTGGTAAGGTCATAGCCCCTGGAAACTATTACTGTCACTTTCCTAATCCAATATAATTTCTAAATTCATTTCAAATATCTATACTTTTTAAAAATTTGTTTTGTTAATTTTTTCCAGACCAATTAGTTTCCCCTCCCTCCCTCCCTCCCTCCCTCTTTGCCTCTCAACCTCTCCCTCCTAACCTCCTCTCTTCCCCCACACCTCAGTTCACTTCTCCTCCTCCTTTCTCTTCAGAAAAGGGCATATCTCCCATGTATATTAGCCAGCCATAGTATATACAGTAAGCCTAGGCACCACCTCTTCTAGTGACACTGAACGAGGAAACCAAGGGGAGAGAAAGAGTCCCAAAAGCAGATAACAGTCAAAAACAACCCCGTTCCCACTGTTAGGAAATCCATAAAAAGATGAAGCTTCACAGCTGTAACATGTGCAGAGGGCCTGTAGGTATATATTGGGCATAAACTAATGGATAACTATGATACAATTCATAGGCCCAAAGAAGCTAAGTAACAAGGAGGCCTGGGGAGGAGTGAGGGGAGGACACACGTGGATTTCACTGTGAAGGGGAAATAAAATAAACACCACAGGTGGATTTCTTGTTATATTTGTCATTTGCATGTAGAATGGCTACTGAATTTTATGCGTTGAGTACATACTATTTTATCAGCTGCAGTTTTCAAGTGTTTTTAGGGTTCTTTCATGTACAAAAGTATATTATCAGCAAATAAGGATGCTTTGACTTCCTCTGTTTCTATTTTTACCTCCTCTATCTCCTTCACTTGTCTTACTGATCTAACAAAGACTTTAAGAAATATGCTAACCAGGAGAGGGGAGAATGAACATTCTTGTCTTGTTCCTGGTAGTAATAAGAATGCTTTGAGTTTTTCTCCATTTACCAATATGTTGGCTGTACGCTTGTTGTATATTATTTCAATATATATGAATGATATATCCCCTGTTGTCCCTAGATTCTCCAGTACTTTTCTCATAAAAATATTTAGACTTTGTCAGAGGCCTTTTCTGCATCTAAAGAAATGATCATTTTGATTTCTGTCCTGGATCTATTTATGTAGTGCATTACATTTATTGATTTATGTCTGCTGGACCTTCTCTATATCTCTGAAATGAAGCCAACTTGGTCATGGTGGATAATCTTTTTGATGTGTTAATAAATTTGGTTGCAAGTACTTTATTAAGAATTTTTGTATCCATGTTCATCAGAGTTACCATCCTATAATATTTTTTCTTGGCTCTTTGTCTGTTTTTTTTTTCCTTTCTTTTTTTTTTTATTGAGAAAAGGAAAAAAAGCTAGTTTCCGCCTCCTCCCAGCCTCCCATTTTCCTCCCCCTCCTCCCACCCTTCTCCCCCTCCCCCCAAACTCCTCTCCCCCTCCCTCTCCAGTCCAAAGAGCAGTCAGGGTTCCCTGCCTGTGGAAAGTCCTAGGTCCGCCCCACTCCGTCCATGTCTAGGAAGGTGAATATCCAAACTGGCTAGGCTCCCACAAAGCCAGTACATGAAGTAGGATCAAAACCCCGTGCCATTGTCCCTGGCTTCTCATCAGTCCTCATTGTTCGCCATGTTGAGTCCGGTTTTATCCCATGCTTTTTCAGTCACAGTCCAGCTGGCCTTGGTGAGCTCCCAGTAGATCAGCCCCATTGTCTCAGTGGGTGGGTGCACTCCTCGTGGTCCTGACTTCCTTGCTCATCTTCTCCCTCCTTCTGCTCCTCATTGGGACCTTGGGAGCTCAGTCCAGTGCTCCAGTGTGGGTCTCTGTCTCTATCTCCATCCATCACCAGATGAAGGTTCTATGGTGATATGCAAGATATTCATCAGTATTGTTATAGGATAGGGTCATTTCAGGTTTCCTATCCTCAGCTGCCCAAGGGACTATCTGGGGACATCACCCTGGACTCCTGGGAGCCATCTACGGTCAAGTCTCTTGCCAACCCTAAGGTGGATCTCTTAACTAAGAATTGTGTTTCCGTGCTCCCCTGTCCAACCTTCCTTTATCCCAATCCTCCTGTTTCCCCAAGTTCCCCCCCTCCTTCCCTTCTCACTTTTCTTTCCCCATCTTCCCTTATCCTCATCCCACCCCACCCCCAAGATCCCAATTTTCTTCCCGGATATTTTGTCTACTTCTTTGGGAGATTTTTAATTAACGTTTCTGTCTCATTGGAAGTTATACGTCAATTTAAGTTGTTCATTTTATCTTGATTAAGTTTAGTAGGACATATATATGTAGAATTACATTTATTCCTTTTAGGCTTTCCAGTTTGGTAGAATATATATATTGGTATCCTGTTGCTGTATTTTTTTTTTTTACTGAGAAGGAAATGTTTCTGATTATGTCTTCTGACTAGTTTTTGTTTGAAGTCTGTTTTGTTGGGTATTAGAATAACTATACCTGGTTGTTTCTTTGTTCCATTTGTTTAGAATACCTTTTTCCATGCTTTTACGCTAAGGTGCTATCAGTCATTAATGGTGAAGTATGTTTCTGGAGGCAACTCTGGGGAGTTTACTCTCAATTGTTTTGTGGGGTGGGGGGAAGGTCATGGAACAAAACATCAAAAGAGAAAAATATTTTAATACTGTTTGTGGGGCCACTAGGAACATCAGTGGAAGCAGTGACCTGCTCACTTAGTGGGATGTACCAGCAGGAGCATTTATATTTGGGAACAAGCACAATTCTTTTGAGGCAACTGAAGCAGGACGTATCCCGTCTGCTCTACCTGCCATATCCCCTCTATCTTTTGCCTTTCCTCTGTTGCCTGAATCAGTCTTACTGATTTAAGGTCCTTCACCCTGGGTATTTTCAAAACATACCTGAAATTCAGCTTTATTCATGACATAGGAGTTCCTTAAAGGCACAATTTTGTTGTCTGTAAAATAGAGTTAATAATCTGTCGCATCATAGGTTAAAGGAGGTAGGCATGTAGTCCTACCAGCCTCTGAGTATCCATTGGCTTTTGATATAGATTTTTTTTTTTTTTTACTGATGTTACTACTGGTAGATCAACCACACTCTAGGGCATTCTCCGCACCCAACACAAATTAGGCAATAAAATTTTGATTCCATGGGAATAAAAGTAAGAGTTAAATCTCTACTTTGGACAAGTAGGGAGGTGGGAATGGATGCAGAAAGATTTGAGAAAAGGGGTGAATGTAATTTAACAAAAAATATACACTGTATCAAATTCTTTAAAAAAATACATAAACTATTACTTTAAAAAATCGGCTTCAAAGAGTAATTACAAAGATCAAATTGTATTTATTACTTTAAAGAAATCGGCTTCAAAGAGTAATTACAAAGATCAAATTGTATTTATGCTAAAACACTTTGTTAATTGTAAAATGCTACAGAAATGTTGGATGTTATAAATCACTAGCAGTTCTCTTCCTCACCTAAAATACTTTGTATTATTTGAGCTTCTGCTTGGATAACTCATTGTCAAATAGCCAATATGAAGTATTAATGTTTTATTTCTGCTTTTCTTATGAAACTCTTTTGCAACTTTATGATGTAAATTAAATCTTTAAGTATTCCTTTGCTTCATATCTCTTACCTGAACACCCAAGCAAGATAGAATCTGTAAAACAGAGGGACAGTTACTCCTTTTGTCACAGTTCATCATTTGCGAAGATCTAAATGCATTCAAGTAGGCACTTGCCTTAAAACATCTTTCCATTAATTCCACAGAGTAGAAACTGTGTGAAGCTGGGTCCTCCTGCTGAGGGAGAAGTCATCCAAGTCAAGTGGCCTGATGGTAAACTCTATGGGGCAAAGTATCTTGGATCAAATGTTGCCTATATGTATCAGGTGGGTGCTACTTTCTCTGTGGTTCTTGGTAAGATGGTCAGTAGATACCAGGAAGTGATAACATGAGTGTGCTGTGCATAAAAAGCCACACAAGTTTTAGTCTTTTTATGGAAGACAAAACTTGAATTTCTAACAGTCCAGGTTTCAACTTGGACTGCCTGGTTGGACACTGAGAAAACCTAACGTTTGGTCTGGTTCAATTACTAGATAATGGCTGTTTGCTTGTGTTTTCATTCTTAGAGTTGGTTTATCTTGCCTTAAACCAGAACATGGAGCTGGGGGTGTTTTGCCTCAACAATAGAGCACTTGCCTTGTATATGCAGGCACTGGATCTGATCTTTAACACTTCAGGGATTTTAAAATAATTTAGATAAAAATAAAATAAGATGTAACATTCATTTGCCAAGTTGAAACAATATTACATATTAGTTCATATTGTTTTGCATTAACATTGTGTTACTCTATGTTGACTATCCAACTAGCACCTTGTGACTTTATTTCTTTGGGTAGAGAAGCCTAATCTGGGCATCTCAGATAAACCAAAACTCTTGGATCATTGGCACAGACAGCTTACAGTTGTAATCCACTCAAGTTTAAAAATAGTAGTTTAGGAAAAGTAAAACTGGAATTATTCTAATTTTACCAAAAATAAAAATGAGTTATACTCACAAAAGAGAAACAACATGGTTAGGGTAGCACAAGTGCATTCATATTCCTCAGAGAACTTTAAAATTGAACATTTGTAGAAGCAACAGATTTCAGTAACACTGTGTCACAAATCAATATTCTCATGTAAATGGTATAGTAAAAAACAGGGTGGCAGAACTAGAAGATTCAAACCCGATATGTTGAAGTGCAGCTTAATAATAATAAGATACCAGTTGAGTATAGAAGGAATTTAACAACCTGATAAGGGGCAAGGGCATAAATAGAGGAGTACAATGCAGCACGCAGGGTACCAGAAGATAGAGCACAGCTACAAAACACTTCTCTCTCTACCTCTCATGCTTCTCCTTCTGCACCTTCAGCTGTGTCTCCCTCTCAGCGTAGACACACACACACACACACACACACACACGTCTCATATTTCTCTCCTACTTCTCGCTCTACAGCAAAACCTCTGTACAAATATGAATCACATTTTCAGGGTCACACAGCATTTCTGGAGTAAATAAGTAACAGCCAAACTGATCATACAGTTTCTCTCAGGCTAGGGAGTTCACGCTGACTGGGTGTGTGAATAAAGTAAGCACACAACTCTGAGTGGTCAGGGTTCCCAGACAGAAAGTGACATTGACATTCAGGACTTAAACAAGAAACAGTTGGTTGACTAAACCTTGAGGTTAGGAGTATGTGCAGAAAATCCATTACTGAGAAAATTATGTCTAATAAAGTTGTTTCATGCAATAAACACCTGGGAATGTGTCCTTATGTATTCATCTCCAGGAGCAACCAGTTTACTTTGAATTTGTCATGAAGTCTAAAATTATCTGTCTTTGTGACTGAGAATTCTATTACTTTCCTATGTCTGTCTGAGTAATGAAAAATACCCTACTATTATTTCTATTCATCAGGATTATATAGTTAAGCAGAAATCATCTTCTTGATCATCCACAGCCATATATGCCCCGTGTAGGGTTAAAGGGCCAACTGGAGCAGGAAACCAGCCAATCACTCAGCACCCTGACTTTGAACCCAGAGCCATTGAAAGAAACACACCCTGGATCTGAGAGCCAGGGAAAGAAACACCTTTAGCCCTAAACTCAGGATCGAAAAAACCATGCCCTGACTCTGAAACCAGTGCCAAAGAAACACACTTTGTCCCTAGAATCAGAGCCAGTGAAAGAAAAACCTTGCTGACATGCTCCCTAAGTGGGGCTGAGCAGGAAAACTAACAACTTTTTCCAGAGCCAGAGGAGATTGCTACATTTCTGCAGGGGCTTGCCGTTTAGCAGAGTGTTAGCAAAGAAGTAATATCTTGGACCAGAAAAGAAGCCCTTAAGTGAACAGAGAAGGGCTCAGCTGTAGCAACTATCCAGGAGAAGATCAAGATTGCTATATCCTATGGCAAGACCATCCCCCACCACCACACCCTAGCTTCAGGTAGCCTGACTTGCCAATAAGTCAGGACACCTTGCCTCCAGGGTAGAGCTGTCCTATTGTGGCTCTATCCTCCAGAGCTGAGCTGTCCTATTCTGGCTCCAGTCTCCAGAGCTCTCCTATTGAGACTCTAGGTAGCCTGGCTTCCTGATAAGTCAGGATATCTTTGCTGCTCCACAGCTGTAACACTCTCACTCCCCTACACCCAGTAGATAGAAATTTTTTCATGAGATAAACATACAAGCAGTGGGGAAAATACCCATAGCTGTTTATAGTGCCACATGAGAAAAGTTACAGAAGCAAAGTTATGCATAGGTAATGGTCTCGTAAGCCTTGTTTCCCGAGATTCTCTCCATAATGTAGTTGTTCACCTGGTGGGTTGACCTTATGGATAGCATTTGTCATCTACTGTGTATTCTTAGTGGCCTCTGGTAAAGCCATTGCCACCGAGAGCTCTCAGCAATGGCTTAAGTGTATCATACTGTTCACAATTAAGTAAACCTAACACCTGGATTAAAAAATACAGGAGATTCCTAGAGAAAAGCTAATTAATAAATGAGAACAAAATGTCACATTTCATAAGAGCAATATTGAAGCTCTGTAACAAAACTGGTTGCTACATAAAATTATCCCATTTTAAAATCCAGGTGAATTAGTAATCAGTGTGTTAGCCCAGCAATATAAAACTGTGGATATATATATATATATATATATATATATATATACACACACACACACACACACACACACACTCAATGAAAGTTAAAGCTGGTATTAAAATTTTCTATTTAACTACAAGTAGTATAGAATTCCTCATTAAGCCAAGTGGCCTTTTGAGATCACTTTTTACTTTCTGTCTTTCACCTTTACCATTGAATAAGAAATTCAATAAAATGTATAGAAAGATATACCTGGAGCACAGTGCAAAATATGCTAAATCTTTGTGTGTATGTGTGAATGTATGTATTTATGTGTATATTTGTGGGTGTTTGTGGGTGTGTCTATGTGTGTGTATTTAATCTCTGTGTATATTTGTGTGGGTATTTCTGTGTGTTCCTGTATATATATATATATTTTCTTTTTTCTTTTTTGCTATTTGAGACTGGATTTCTCTCCATAGCTTTGGAGCCTGTCCTGGAACTTGCTCTGTAGACCAGGCTGTCCTCAGACTCACAGAGATCTGCCTACCTCCCTGCCTCTCCCTCCCAAGTGCTGCGATTAAGTGTGCACCACCACCGCCCAGCCAGTCGTGGTGGCACAGGCCAGTAGGATTTGCTGAAGGAGGTGGAAGCAGGGAGGATCATGAGTTTGAGGCCAGCCTGGACTACACATTTAACCAGGTTTGGTGGTGCATGCCTTTAATCCCAGCACTTGGGAGGCAGAGGCAGGTAATGATCTCTGTGAGTTCAACGCCAGCCTGTGTATATCTTTGTGATTGTATGTATGTCTTTATATCTGTGTGTTTGTGTCCTTGTGTGTTTCTGAGTATATATGTCTGTGTGTGCCTGTGTATATTTGTGTCTGTGTATGTATATATGTATATTTGTGTGTGTGTCTGAATATATACGTATATGTGTATCTATGTATGCATGCGTATATGTATGTATGTCTTTTTGTGTGTATGTAAATGTTTGTGGGTGTATTTTTGCCCTGAACAGTAGTTCTTCTGTAAAATAGATTTTTTTTCAGAGTTTTTTTTTTTTGATTTTTGAAAGTTTTTGTATTTTTTTTTAATTTTTTTTTATTGCGAAAAGAAGAAAAGAAACATAAACAAAAAACAAGTATCCACCTCCTCCCAGCCTCCCATTTCCCTTCCCCTCCTCCCACCCTTCTCCCCCTCCTCCCACCCTTCTCCCCCTCCTCCCACCCTTCTCCTCCTCCCCCACTCCTCTCCCCCCCCCCCTCCCTCTCCAGTCCACAGAGCAGTCCGGGTTCCCTGCCCTGTGGTAAGTCCTAGGTCCTCCCCCCTCCGTCCATATCTAGGAAGGTGAACATCCAAACTGGCTAGGCTCCCACAAAGCCAGCACATTAAGTAGGATCAAAACCCCCTGCCATTGTCCTTGGTGTCTCATCAGCCCTCATTGTTCGCCATGTTCAGAGAGTCCGGTTTTATCCCATGCTTTTTCGGTCACAGTCCAGCTGGCCTTGGTGAGCTCCCCGTAGATCAGCTCCTCTGTCTCAGTGGGTGGATGCACGCCTCGTGGTCCCGACTTCTTTGCTCATGTTCTCCCTCCTTCTGCTCCTCCTTGGGACCTTGGGAGCTCAGTCCAGTGCTCCTGTGTGGGTCTCTGTCTCTATCTCTATCCATCACCAGATGAAGATTCTATGATGATATGCAAGATATTCGTCAGTATTGCTCTAGGATAGGGTCATTTCAGGTTCCCAATCCTCAGCTGCCCAAGGAACTAACTGGGAACCTCATCTTGGGCACTAGGGAGCCCCTCTAGGGTCAAGTCTCTTGCCCACCCTAAACTGGCTCCCTTAACTAAGAATTGTGGTTCTGTGCTCCCCTATCCACCTTTCCTTTATCCCAATTCTCCTGTTTCCCAGGTCCCCCCTCCTTCCCTTCTACCTTTTCTCTCCTCATCTCCCTTTACCCCCATCCCACCCCATCCCCAAGATCCCATTTTCTCCCCGGAAATTTGGTCTACTTCCCTTAGCCAAGAGGACAACTATATGTTTTTCCTTGGGTTCACCTTCTTACTTAGCTTCTTTAGGTTCACCTCCTGTAGACTCCGTGGTCCTTATTTATGGCTAGAAACCAATTATGAGTGAGTACATCCCATATTCATCTTTTTGGGTCTGGGACACCTCACTCAGGATAGTGTTTTCTATTTCCATCCATTTGCATGCAAAATTCGAGAAGTCATTGTTTTTTACCGCAGCGTAGTACTCTAGCG